TCCAGATGATAAATAAAAAACAGGATCAAATTAAGTAAATTTGAATGGTACAATTTTATTTACTTTTAAATTACCAAAGAAAAACATTTTGAAGTAAAATAGTACCTCCCGCACACTTTAAAATCTTCCCCAAGTCTTAAGTCCTTTAAGAGATCCCTCTCTACATAGCTCAAAACAGAATGCACGTGTCATGGTTGATTATATATTTCCTACCTGTTCTATGTTACATTTTGTATATATTGTGTATTAATATTGTTTTTGTATTTTATTGTACCATAGCGTATCAATGAAATGTTTTGTAGACACAGGACATACTTGAAAACGAGAGAAATCTCAATGTATCTTTCCTGGTAGAATATCGGATAAATAAATAATTAAATAAGATATTTAGCGATATCAAAAAGATTGACAAAGCGTTTTGCATGACAGTCTTTCTCAAGTGAGAAGTGATATTATTTTATATATTATAATCGCTATGTAGATGCAAATGTATCATTCTACACCCCACTGTACGTATGATACAGCAGCAAGTTTCAGATTTTTGCTATATATTCCTACATGGTTCATCATTACCCCAAACATAATACTTCATAAACAAACTGCTCTTTCCTTCTAACTTCCCTTCTGTGTTACTTTACAATAATTGTGAATAGCATGACTATTTACCCTCAGGCACCAGCTGTGTGCCTAGTATTAATGATGGAATTATGCCTTTCCTTCATTACTCATATTAAAACCTTCAAACACCTGGTGCCTCTTCATTTGCAACATTCCACCTACTTCTCCCAGGTTCTACAAGAAAATATGTTTTGTAATCAATGATCATCCCCAACGTGGACTACGACAATATCATACTGATTACAAAATCTTTAAATACCCCTCCTCACCTCTAAGGCTCTCCAACTCTCATTCCCACTCTATTACAGGGTTATTTACTAGAGTGAGATTTCATAGGAAGGTTTAAGACGAGAATAGCTTAACTGAAAGAAAAAGCTGATTTACAATTTGAAATTCACTCTAGTGAATAACTCTCTATGTCTGCCTTTGGGTTTTCAAGGTTCACCATCAGGCTCTTATTCTCCTTTTACACCGATATATCTATATCAAACTTTCTATATCCCTATCTGCAGTGCTGTAGAACACGTTGGTGCTTTATAAATACTAAACGAATTGGCTTAAATGTTTCAATACCCCGGTCATTCCTCAGTTTAGGGAGTAACCCCATAGGATAGATAGCATTTTAAAAGTACCCATTCTTCACCTTCCATGAAGGCATAATCCACAGAGAGAGAGTATTCATAGCTGGCTGATATGTTTAATTTTATTCCCATCTAGTATAACGTAACCTTAAAGGATCACTAAACTCCATGAAGTGGTCTGGGTGCAGTAGTCCTGTCATTTTTACCCTTACATAAAACACTGCCATTTTGCAGAGAGGTGAAGTGGTAAACATGCCTCAAGTGACTGACATCCACTTAAGGCGTTTCTACTGCACTGGGTGAGCAAAAACTCATAGGAATCTCATAGGAAAGCATTTATTCAATTCTTACCTATGAGAAACATTGAATGTGCTCACGATGCTTGCTGCACATGCACATTAGGTTTCCACCACTTCTCTTTAAAAAGCTCCTCAATTATGTCACAGGGGGTAGATCGTTGAGCAACTCCAAGGGCGTGTTGGCGCTTTAAAAAGGTGAGTAGAACATTGATTTTTATTAAGTTTTGTGGGGAAAAAAAGGCAAGGGGGGTGTATAACAAAGAAAAGATTTGTAACGCAACAGTGTTACTTTTTATTAGATATAAAATAAAAATGTATGTGTAAATCATGAATACTTAAGCACGTTTTACAGTTTTCAACTACATGCTTTTCAATGTTTAGTCTAATAATAAATCCTGATTTATCTGTTTAGATTGAGAATGCTTATTGTGATTCCAGTAACATCACAGTGGCCCAAATCCTTGAGATATATTGGAATCACTTTAACTCAAGTATTTTTATTTTGAGAAAACTTAGAGACACGCAGAGGGGAGTTGATGAAATGAAATAGTACAAGATCTCCAGAACAAATTTAATATTAAACCCTGTACATTTGTAAAGATCATCACACATATTACATTGATATCTTTGTATGCTTGTTACAATTTAATAAACGCTAAATTGAAAACAAAAGAGAGACAAGTAAGATTTAATCTGCTCCGAGCTGCAGTCTCCAATGTATACATTAACAACGCTCTGAAATAACAGAAAAATTACTTAAATAGGACTCGTAGGAACAGCCATTTTGCATTTATAGTGGAGAATCCACGGGACTGTTGAGAGATTTGCAAAACACTTGAATGTATCTCTATAAACTACAGAAGATCTTGGACAATTTTCACACGTAGTAAATTTTAAGATTAAATAACTTTTTTTAAATTTCCATTGTGAAAGATATTCTAGTTTATTTTTAAAAATAAATGACACAGTGGAAACCTGCACAAGCATGCTTTTTCTTCAGCATGTTTTCAGCAGGAAATTGGCTTATAAAAGCAGTAATAATGCCACAGTATTCACAAGTTGTAGCACTTGTGGTAGAACTGAGCATATTCACTGATATCGATGAAGATTTAATGCCAATCATTTAGTTTGAATTTATGTGATGCCATAGCCAATAGCCATAAGTAAATTTATAGTTTATATATATATATATATATATATATATATAAATATATACTTATGCTCTTTGTATAGATTAGTATGCAAGGAGGGTCTTCTGCCATTGTGTTCCTGTGCATGCTTGCCTTTAACTGCAAAATTTGATGCAGCTACAGACTGCCAGGTAAAGTAGGAGTTTTTCTTTGCTGCACTTTTTAGGCATATGGTGGCTGTGTGGGCATACTCCATTCAAGGCCCTTTAGGGCCAGGCAACCTTCGGCACTCAAGATGTTCTGGACTAGATCTTCCATAATGCACCTACTGAGTAATGCTGGCAAAGCATCAGGGGAGATGTAGTCCACAACATCTGGAGTGCCGAAAGTTGCCTACCCCTGCGCGTATTGCTCCAGTCTGGTTCTCAGAGCACTTTTTTTGGGAGTGAGGTCAACAAATAAACTTTGAGAAAACCCACAAGTGGAGTGTTGAAGATCCATTACTTACAGTTAGTAAGCTTGTGAATAGTCATTTTACTTAGAAACATTGGATCTAAATTAAGAGAGGTCCTGAAACAAAATACCTACCACAAGTAATTTATTTTCCATAAGATACTGTAGGAAGAAACTGATTATGAACTCATTAATATATGTACTACTTGTTATGAAAAACACAATAATTTTAAGGTTTTCTATAGGAATATGGGAGAACAAGATGGTATCCCAATGGTTTCATCGCCATTATTATCATGTATACACAATTATTACACAATGTGCTGCCTACCTGCACTATAAACAAGCGCTAGAGACCATGTACTATTTTACAATGTGCTTTATTACCTTTGATTTTTGATGGGGAGCTATATACACTCTTATTCTATAACAGGCATCTGTCAATCAAAAAAATTAAACAATAGCCCAACAAGTTCAAATATTATCTTAAAAAGTACCAGCACTATATCCAAAACACATCCCACTCACTAGTATTGTATGCATCATGAACAGTTTTGCCAATGTTTAAATCTTTTTTTTTTTTTTTTTACATCTTCCTTATAAAATATAGGTTGGAAATAGACTAAACTCATAGTTTACTTTATATTGTAAATTATAGGGTTAATTTGTGTAGTGCAGACCGCAGATTTGCTGATATACACATAATTTCTGAGAGTTAAAAGTGTTACATTTAAAACATAATTGGTATTTTTATATAGACAAAAAAATTGCCAATATTTGATACACTCTGAATTTGATAAAATGTGAGAATTTCTGAAAAAATAAAATATATTTATGTATATATGTACATACACACAAATAGTTTGATGCTTCGTAGTCTAACAGAATTCGTAGTTTTTAGTTGATTAATAAAAAACATGTGGCTTTTTTTTTATTTTTTCCCAATTTAAATGTGAATGTATTCTTCCCACCCACTTGTACATAACCCTTTGGTTGCCAGAAGCAGTCTGCAATCAGCCGGTATTCTATCAAACTTATATGATTTAATGAACAAAAGGACTCTGCCACTCTGGCAAGCAAGCAAGGCTTCTTGTGGAAAATAACATAAATTGTAATAGTTTAATAGGAACTTGTTAAGTTGATCAAACATAAATCACTCAATGTTCAATGCTCATTAAATATAGTGTGTTGTCACAACAAACAGGCCAGGGTTTTAAAAGTGTCTAACACTTGAACAGTTTATTTACTAACTACAGAGTTGAGACAAAACGGCTGATCTAGAAATATTACACAATTCAAAATTGCAGATTTGGCCATTATGACAAACATTTGGTTTTCACTTCTCCATAACTTATTCTATCTGGTGAATATACAGTGGAAATAATCAAAATCCATATTGGAAAATGTGGATAAGATTTGGATCCCTCATGTCCTGCACTAACAGACCTTCCCTGAAGTCTGGTAGAGGAAGAATTTGTAACAGCTACTTATCATCCAGGGGCACTACTGAGGGGCTTGCAAACCCACCATGTTTTCCTAGTTCTAGACAAAGGGTAGGCAACATTTGGCAATTCAGATGTTGTGGACTTTATCTCCCTTAATGCTGTTACCGTCACCTAGACACATATTATGCTTCCATTCTGATGGGCAGTGCATATAAAAAAATGATCATACAATATGTGGAAGAAATTAAATATTTAATCAAGTAGGGATCCCAAAGGCACTGTTAATGAATTGATCTCCTGTAGCATATGAATACCGCATACACACATATCAGGAAAGAATATGTGCCCAGGAAAACATGGTGGATCAGACCACATTACTGTTTTAATCATGGACATTGAAGGGAACAAAAAGTGTACTTCGGAGTAGCAATATGTAAAACCAAGAGAGCATTCAAAAATATTAGTTTTATTATTGCCATTTATGTAGCGCCAACAGAACCTGTAGCGCTTTACAATATTAAAAGAGGGGGGGGGATTTAACTATGAAAAGGACAATTACAAGAAAACATACAGGAACGATAGGTTGAAGAGGACCCTGCTTGAAGGAGCTTACAGTCTATAGATCACTAAATGCTGCTCCATAATACACATTTTTATCCGAAAATCATTATTTAAAATGGTGTTGTGGTGCATCTTTATAGTGGCCCAAAGCCTGATTCAGAATCTACCACTTGGTTTATTTCAGTATTGTGAAAACATTTGAAGATATGCTATTAATTACAGATGAGTAGAAGATAGGCTATAATCAACTTCTTATTGACAATATTTAACAAACAATGTGGCTACTACCAGTAATTGTTCAATTAAAACTTTGAAATTGGGTTAGTATGCAAATCTATTACTAGTGGTGCTTGGTAGAAAAAGGTTGAGAAACAATACTTTGTACACGTACACCATTACAATCACCTTTATAAGGTGGCATGTACTAATAAGAAATAAAACAAACAAAAAAGAACCGAAATGTCAGTTATTTACTTAACTTGTCAGGCATTCATAGTGAACTCATACTGAATATCAAATTTAAGGTCAATAGTTGAATTTGAAAAATTCTCCAAGTCTGTTGGTGTTTCCAGTTCGCCTAATTTTATAATTTGGAATTGACTTAGAATTCACACTAACTTTTTGTAAAAAAACAACAACAAAAAAAACAAAACCCTGTAGATGTCAACAAATAATTAACACATTTTGCATTTAGCACAGGTGAAGATTTACTATATAGAAAGTCATCAATGTATAAATATAAGTGCAAAACTATTCTATTTTAGTGTGCTGGTTGATCTCACATTAATTATCATTTTTAAGCCAGTCTTCTCTAATGTCTCACGACAGCATAATTATATTCACTAAATATATTCTCCAGATAAAAAGAATAAAAGATTTGACGAAACCTTTAATAATTGTGATTTATTTATTTTTTCTGCCACACAATTTTTTATTTTTTTTTACTATTTATCCATTGTGGCGGTTAGTACATTTACCCTAGTACCTCCACATTACAACCATCAGACATGGCTCTGGTTATGCGCTAGTTTTTCCTTAGGGTATTGGTTCTTAACCCCTGGGTCTGTAGCCCAAATTGTGTACCCATGCAATTTCAGAGGGTTCCAAATAGCTGGAACAGACAATTCATATTCTAGGACTCTGAACAATCATTAGACTGAGCTGATTATACAATGGGAGAATAGCCCCCCAATGTCAGGCTCTGTCCAGGATGTGGCCCCTGGCAGCCAGCTCTGACAAGCAGTGTGTGTAATCCAGTCCTGGCTTTGCAGGCAGCCCTGGCTCAGTGTGTGAGTGTGTGAGGAGCTGGGCTCTTGTTTACAGCATTAACGTCACACAGTGAGAGAGCCAGAGAGAGAGAGCGCTGCCTCCCGAGCTCCCCGCCACCAGCAGCACGCCGAGACCCGGGTCACCGCCAGCCCTCCTTCCGCCAAGGCCACCGCCGGAGCCCGGACAGACCCTCCGCCAGCCACAGCCAGACCCTCACCCTCCGCGGCCACCCGGTACAGCCCGAGCCCAGGCCGCTTCATTCATTGGTCCGGCAGCGGCGGCCTCGGGCTGGCAAGGAAGGAGCATTGGGGCTGAGGCCGGCCGATATGGAGGCTGAGGACACCGAGCGGCGGCTCCCGGCCATCTCCTGCCTGAGACCAGCCTGCCTGGGGTATACGGTCCAGCGGCGGGGCTGACACCCTGCATCCCCAAACACAGTGCCCACTGGACGGATACCGTGCGCTCAGCCAATAACTGGACAGCTGATCCCAGGAGCTGACACTCTAATACTGCGCCCGGCCTGGATAACTGGACCTGACTCCCCGGTACACCCCCCCCAGTGAGCGGGGCAGATACTGAGGGATTTACTATCAAATCTGCAGGGGAATCCATATTTTAACCCCCTGAGTTCTGGATACAGTGAGCCATCTCTTGGACTGGGGCAGCTCTCACATAGAAACCTGGCAAAAGGAGGCAATTAAGATCCAATTGGCAGCTTGTACAGGGGCACATCGTGTCCAGCCACTGCACGTGAAAGGAGGCAAGGGTTTTTATTATTTGGGGGGGTGGGGGGGAGGTACCAGAAGGGGGTATCCTGCGAGATAAGCGGCCCATGTGACACCCACCACCTCCCCCTGTCACATTACATTGTGTCAGTCTGGGTAAGACTGAACCAAAGAGCAAATCCCAAATAATTCTCCTCCTCCCTGTGATCCCAGCCAGCAGACAGGGAGGATCTCACTCACAGTCCCTGCACCCACCGACCTGGTAGTGGCATTACACCGGGGGGTGTGGAGGGGAGGGGGGTCTTCATCCTCATCATAACCCCCATACATACAGGTGCTAATTACTGGCAGAATCTTGATGAACCAACACTTTGTCCCGGGATTCTAGAAGCAAGGTCACAGAGGAGTTGTACAGTGTTCTAATTTTTAAAAAACATTTTTTTGGTCCATACATTTTGGGATTTAGAGTGGAAACAAGCAGCCATCTTTACTTGGGGGTGTAGGAATTTGCCCATACTGTGGAGGTGTGGATTTAATTACCCTGGGATAGCTGGAAACACGCCTGATTGCCTCCCTGGAGCTGTGGAGATGAAGCTCGGTTCGGGCTGGGGGTCTTCTACGACCTGGCTGTCTGGAGCACTCCTGGTACTGCTGTGTCCCTGTCTCTGCCAGGATTTACAAGGTGGCAAAGGTGAGTGTTTTGTTTTTCTATTTGGGTGGCTGACACCTCTTTCCCCCTTCCTCCATTGAGTGATGTCCTCACCTAGTTAGACCCACATGTTTGATCCCTGCTGGGAAATACTACAGATACACACTAGACAGGGACTTCTTCTGCAGACACTCTGTTTTAAGGTCTGTCTCGTTTTTTTGTTGTTGTGTGTTGTGTTTTTTTGTTTTGTTTTTAAACTCCAAAAACCATACTGACCGTATTTTTTTTAATCCCTGTAAACTGAATTTGCATTTTTTTTCACCCCATTTTGCAGGTTTTGGTTATGGGAATGAGACCAGGTGTGATCCCAAAACAGTGTTTTGGTAATGAATTAATTTTGCCCACGTGTAGACTTATTGCACATGTTTGAGGAAGGATCGAGTGCAAGGATGTCTTGGTGTGATCACCTTTCAGATTTTTGTTCTAGTTTTCTAGCATTAATGATGCACCTGCTTACCTGTTAGGAAGAAGGGATCACTTACTGCAGGATCTGCTGCAATTTGGAAGCATAATGCATCTTTCAGCATATACCGCATGTTTATAGTGCACACTGACTGTCACTAGATCAGATCACCAGTGTCATGAATCACAAACTCATCCTTTGTATAAATGCCAGACACACTTGTTTACAGAGTGCATCACCCAGTCTAGTCCACAAAACCAGCCTACAGATTGTTGCCCCCCTCCCCTTCTTCATCTCGCCATTTATTTTCCCTTTCATTCTTATCCACATTGTTACTAGGCTTCATTTATGATCTGACTTTGTAATTTGGATATGTTCTTCCTGAATGTTTGCTATTTGTAGCATTGCATGCTCTGCAGACAGAGTGCATTTTGCAACTATAAGGAATGATGGCACACACTTGAATTATTTGGGCTTATATTTTGTGTTATTGTGTTAGACTTTTTTTTTTATCTTGTTGATGCTGTTTGTTTAGCACAGTTGGCGGCTGGCCTATCTGTGAGTTTGGAAGGTAAACAGTAGCTTGCATAGATGTGCTGCGGTACTCGGTTTGATAGGCAACCTTTTTTTGCACCCAGCACCTCTGTTTCCAATGCAGGGAAATACACCTTGGAATTTAAATCCTATTTCAAGGATACTGGTCTCACTGAATGGCAAAATCACCCAAGTTAACCTGAGCGCAGTCAAAATTTGTATTGTTATTCGCCCATTCTCTGTGCTATGTAGTGGGATGATATACAATAAAAAGATAATTGTGCCAAGGCTTGGGTGGGATTGCAATCTAAAAGGTGGTCACTTTCTTCCCATGTGTGTCTAAAGGGTAGTATGGAATTATGTACATATTGTGTAACAAGACGTTGCTTAAAGTGTAATCTTGTTATACAAGAAAATTCAGCTGAATTCAAGGTCTGGGATAAATATATGTGTGCACACTACATCCTGCCATGTGAAACCGGTTTGTCTGATGCCAGTCATGGGTAGACAGTTACAGTGATCCAACAATTGCTTTAAAAATAATCCTCCTGTCTCAAGCACTGTCATTTTGACATACCCAGAACATTAAATTGTAAGCCTCTAGGGCAAGAAGATTGGCTGCATGCTGCTGTTCGTAATTTTGTTTTTTAGAAACCACAAGCATTAGTGCTAAATGTAGACATACTTAATGTCTGTATCACTAGCTCTACAATTGTGTGTGTGTGTGTGTGTGTGTATATATGTATATAATCAATTGTTATTACATTTAATATACTGTACTGCACTTTACTGTTCTCTTCAGAACTATCCTTGGTTACTATTACTGCACTCTTCAATTGAGCTCGTCAATAAATCCTCTCCATAAATCCTCTCTGTATACAATAGATGCAGCTTTATACGTGAAGCATACTGGGAGACAGCCTGGTACTATATGCTGTCATGAATCAACGGCAAACGTGTGCTAGGATTCTGTTTTCACGTTTTGTGTCTGGAGAGCGTATTGACGTATTTTTCTTTTTCTTGTGTATCATATGTGGGCTCCTATTATAAATACATCCATTTTTAGTGGTCTGTTTTTCCTCTTCAACATCTTCACTGGGGCCCCATAATCCTGGTGGGTGTTATTTTTAGTACAGTAGTAGGAAACCCAACATCTCTGCTTCTGTATGATACAGACTGTGCTTTGTGCATATACTCACTTAGCAGTGCCTGAGTGGTTTAAAAACAGCACAGGATTTTGTTGACGAGGTTGGAAAAGGGGGGAAAATACCCTTCTTGAAGCCCTGGGACCATTTTTCACTTTGATACCCTATTAGTGTGTTGTAATATTCCATCTATTTAGACAGAGATTGTATAGTTTGCGTTTTCAAGGTTTTAATTAGATCCTTTGTATTCTTTATCCATTGCTGATGCATCCATCATAGGGGGAGTGTCATTCAGTCGGTGGTCCTGGCTTAGCTCTTTGGAACTCTCTACCTCCCCTTTGCTAATTTGTTTACTAGA